TGCACAAACTGGCAGGCACCGAGGGCTGGGGAGCAGCAGTGACCAGAGACTTAATTCCCAAACATGCTGTCTTAATATTTTACAATGCACTCGAATCCAGGAGACAGGGGCCCTGGGTAAGAGCAGGGCCCCTGTCTCTTCTGCATACCCTATCAAGTAAAACAGCACTTATTAACTAAACATTTTAAAATTAAATAAAGGCTGTATGGCCACTCAGATATGTGTACTGTCCTTGGGGCTTCTGTGCCCCTGCATGTTCACGTGCAGAGACTGGTCAGTGCTAGACTCACTTCACAGACCCCTGCACATTTCTCCCCCATGTTTCTGGCGGGCTTGAATTGCCCTCTGGTTCCCAGGCTTATATGAGGCTTATTAACTATACATTTTAAAATTGAATCCTTACCAGCTCTTTGGGCAATGAAAACAGTGACTATATTCAAAAAATACACTAAACTAAACAGCAAAACAGAAAGCTGTGGGCTGCAATGAACTACGTTAATTGACCAGAGAAACACAGTGAGACTCAGAGAGGTGAGCTCTGGGAAAACCAAACTTTTCCTTTACCCTATGACTTCTGGCAAGAGACACTGACAAGTTATACTAATTTGATTCAAAAGATTTCCATAGACTCCACTCATGTAGAGGCTCAAGGAAACACCTTTAGTAGAGACTAGGCCCCTGGACCCCTAGCTGCCCATGCTGCGTTTCACCATGAAGTACTTGGTCCTGGAGATACCAAGGCAGAGACACTAAGGCAGAGAATGTGCACTGTCACATACTGACCAAGAGAACTAGCAAACTCAAATCCAGCCTGAGTAAGAGCAGGGCCCCTGTCTCTACTAAAAATAGAAAAAGGGGAACTCACCTAATGTGCATGATGCAATGGTACATTTCAAAACTATTTAAGATATGAGTATAATTGTGATGGATGTGTTACTTAGTTCAATGTAAGCATTTCACATTGTATATCAAAGTAGTAACCTGAACCCCATAAATGCATCAATGTGCAAAGTTATGATTTAATAAAAACTAATAAATAAAAATAAAATAAAATAGAAAAAGTAGTTGAGCATTGTGGCAGGAGTCTGTAGTCCCAGCTACTCAGGAGGCTGAGGCAAGAGGATCACTTGAGCCTAAGAGTTTGAGGTTGCTATGAGCTATCATGACATGGCACTCTACCCAAGATAACAGAGATTCTGCCTCAAAAAAAAGAAGAAGAAGAAAACTAGCAAGCGTGAAAACCACTCATTCTGCCATCTGCCCTCATAGAAGCCTGGGGACCAGAGGGCAATTCAAGCCCACCAGAAACATGGGGGAGAAACGTGCAGGGATCTGTGAAGTGAGCCTAGCACTGACTGGTCTCTGCATGTGAACATGTAGGGGCACAGAAGCCCCAAGGACGGTATGCACATCTGACTGGTCACATAGCTTAAACCTCAGTGGGTGCTGGTCTGAGCCCTGCACGATCCCATCTACAAGCCTTGCTTCACCTCCATCTGCAGAACTCACTAGTCTTGGCCTGGCTTTGCAAAGCACAGGAACGCCAGGGCACTGTAGGACCCCTGCCTGGGAGGAGCAGGTGTTCATGGTTTGGCAGATCTGGTAGTGATGGTGGTTGGTGAATACATTGCTAGGCAGGGGTCACTCAAAAAGGTGTCCCCCTTTCCAGGGGTCTTTGTCAACCTCAGACTTACAGTTAACGTGAGAGCCCAGGCTGCATGACCAGGCTGAGGTTGAGCCCACCCAGACAGCAAGCAGGACATGAATACCACAATCCCATGCCCTTTGTTCTGGACTTTGTGTACAAACATTCCCTGTTCCAGCTAGTTGCCCTTTCCCCTCCAGTCTCAGGTAGTAGAACCCTGATCTAAGAGAGGGGCCTGACCAGTAGGGCTGAGGCCGACTCCAAAGGGCAGGGAGGACATGGTGACAGTCCTTGCAGAGGGATCAAGGGAAGAGCACTTCCCGACACGTGGGCTCTCCTGGATGGGAGGGGAAGCTGGGCCAAGCTCTGAGTGCTTAGTATGAGTGCGCAGTGCAGTGAGGGGACGAGCCCTTTCTGCTGGGCACCCTCCAACCCCATGCTCCTCCCTCTGGGCTTTGGGACACCGAGGTCACTGTCCTCTCTCTTCTTGTGGCCCTGTTTACTGTGGTTAAGGTGGTGTTCATAGCTTGGTTACCCTTGGTCTGTCCCTACCAAAGTGCCTGTGATGGTGGCCCACTGTTCTCTGTCCACTTTACACAAAGAAAACCAGGGTCCCTGTGATACCCACTAGGTACGCCTGAGGGTAATACCTCTCAGCTCCTGCGCTCTTTTCTTTTGGATGTGCCCAGTGTGCATTCTAAGGTGTCCCCAACAAGTCAGTCTCCCTGGAGGAAGGGACACGTACAGCTGGCGGCTGGGGGTGGGGAAGACAAGAGATGTCAGTGTTCCAAGACCCCAAGCAACCCTAATCTGGGCCACAGCCAAAGAGTCATCACTTTCATTTTTTTTTGAGACAGAGTTTCATTTTCTTGCCCTCAGCAGAGTGCCATGACATCCCAGGTCACAGCAACCTCCAGCTCTTGGGCTTAGGCAATTCTCTTGCCTCAGCCTCCCGAGTAGCTGGGACGACAGGCACCCACCGGCTATTTTTGGTTGCAGTTTGGTCAGAGCTGGGTTCGAACCCACCACTCTCGGTATACGGGGCCAGTGCCATACCCACTGAGCCACAGGTGCTACCTACCACTTTCATTTTTAAGATTT